CTCTCTCTCTCTCTCTCTCTCTCTCTCTCTCTCTCTCTCTCTCTCCAATTCCCTTGAGGACACGTGTTTCCCTTCTCTACGAAACCCCTTCTCCGCCTATCCCTAGCAGTCTCTCGGAAGACACCCCCAAGCTCTTCTCGCACCTCCTCTAGTTTCTTGGCGTTGCCTGTGACAAACACGACCTTCTTCCCCACCAAGGAGGCCGCCATGGTGGCGATGGTCCAGCCAGCTTACCCACCAGGAGCCCCTTTGCAGCCAGTAGCAAGAGCACTTCCGGTTGGCGCCGGAAGAGGCGGGCCGGCTTCCGACCGGGGATTCCCAGGAAGGGCGCTCGGGTGCTGCAGGCTCTGCTCGCGTGGATGCGACATTCTGACCTTCAATGCTGTGCAGAGGCCGCGTCGGCTGCCCGCCGAGCCTCAGAGGGTGGGAAGCGGCGCTGCCACGGTGCGCCCGCATTGTTAGAGGCCGCGGTATCATTACTGAGACTAGGGCGCCAAGACCCATCTGCTCAAAGTGTGCTTTGCAGTGCACTCCCAGTACTGCGCCCACCATACCCCTTCCTGCGCCTGCTTTCCGTTCCCGCTGGAACGAAGGCGCCCAGGAGATCAATGAACCTCCTCGTCCCAACCTCAGAACCGGTGAAGCGATGCCTCTCCAGGCACCTCCTAAACTGCCTAAAACTCTCCCTCTGGGCTAGAGACTCACCGGATTCTCTATTCTGACTCCACCTCCAGAAACCTTCCTCTAACTGCCTACTCTCCGGCCAGCTCTGATCAGCCAGCTTGACTGACTTAAAATTGGTATAGCCAGAATAAACCTATTTTCTTCACCTACCTCCCAGATTTTGGACCTCAGTATTTCCATTCTCTCCACCTCACTACCAATCTCTTAAACCCATCATCTCATCTCTACCGTCTTAAGTCAGATTTTTGCATCCGGAGCACAGCAAGGAATAGGACATAACCCAACAGGGTCACCTGTGATGAAATGGGGCTTGGCCCTCTAATAATGTATTTAGCTCCCTGGGGCAATACTTTCCAAAAGGGCTCTACTGAAGAACCAGAAAGGAGAGGTCTGCATTATTATCAGGCTCCCCAGACTTTTCTGATGCTTATTCCAAGTGTGAAAACCATTATTTTGGATGGTGACCTATATTCTGATACTGAAGCAGAAACACTAAGGACAAGTCTTAAGACTGTTGTGTTAGGTGCCATGGAGTTGGTTTACACCCTACATGAACATAAGGAAACACTGCCTGGTACTGTGCTAGCCTCACAATCTCCACTTTGCTTAAACCCAATGTCACTGTGTCAATCAGTCTCATTGAAAGTTTTTTTCCTTTCTGATGAATGGTCTAGTGGGTAAGCAGTTGTAGTGCCAGAACAAAGACAGATGGTTCAAATCCATCAGCTGCTTCTCAGAAGAAACGTGCAATATCCTGTGTGATTTAATGCCTCAAACTGCAATGGCTAAAGATGCAATGAGCAAAATCTTGAGGCATCAAAAGATGATGGAGGGGATACACTATACCAAAAAAGAATTGGCGGCCAACACTGAAATATTTCAGGAAGTACCATATGATTTAAAAAAAAAAGGAGCTATGGTGGACTTAATGGTAAGGAACTGCAGTGTCAACTCAAATGCATGCATTTTGAATCCATCAATAGCTTCTCAGGAGAAAGATGGGGAATCAACTCCCATATGATTTACTCACTCTGAAAACCTCCTGGAAGGTCAGCTATGGGTCGTTTCTGACTCAGTGGTACTCAACACCATCACCATCACTGTATAATCAAGAGCCAATGGTAATAAAAGAATAAGCTCAAGTTGTAATGAAGGCACTGGCAAAAAATAAGAAATCTATGGGATATTAATAGGCATGTTTCAAATGACAGATTCCACCCTGGACATGCTCACCAGTCTATGCCAGAAAATTTGGAGGAGAGTTGCCTGAACAACTGACTAAAAGAGATCCATATATTTTTTTCATTCCCAAGAAAGGTTATCCAACAGAATGTGGAAACTATCAACCAGTGTCATTAACACCTTGGAAGCAGGAGAAGCATTCACTTCCTAAACAACATGCCTCCTGAAATTCTATGAACTTTGATAAATGTCGATAATTATAGAAAGGCTTCAGGCCTTTTGTTCATAGGGTCGCTATGAATAGTGTCCAACTCGCAGGCAATCAACAACAACATCATCATTAATACCACATGCAAGCAAACTATTGCTGAAGATTATTAAAAAACAGCTAGTGCAGTACATAGCTCGATTTAGAAGAAGCTGTGACACCAAGGATATTATTGCTGATGTCAGATGGATCCTGGCTGAGAACAAAGAATAACAGAAGTTCTATTTTGTGCTTTATTGACTATGCAAAGGCATTTGACTGTGAGGATGATATAAATTATGACTGAAAACTAAATTTATTATTGCAAAAAACCTAAATTGTGCCCATGCAAAACCTATATCGAGACCAAGAGGCTATTGAGGGAACAAGGCAAAGGAACACTACACAGTCCAAAATTAAGAAAGGGGTGTGGGTTGCATCTTTTTTTCCATACTTATTCAATCTGTATGCTGAGCAAATTACTTAAAAAGCTAGACTCTATGAAGAAGAAGGTGACATCAGGATTGGAGAAAGACTCATAAACAGTCTGTGTTATGCAGATGACACAAGGTGTCTTGCTTAAAGTGAGGAGGACTTGAAGCACTTGTTGCAGATCAAACACTGCAGCCTTTACTATGGATTGCATCTCAAGAAAACAAAAATTCTCCCCACTGGACATATAGGCAACATCATGACAGATGGAGGAAAGAGTAAATCTGTCAGACTTCATCTTACTTGGATCCACAATCAGTACACTTGGTACCAGCAGCCAGGAGATCAGGAGAGGTAACTGGAAACATCTGTAGTCAGGGACCACTCCAAGTTAGTTAGGAGCAGTGACGTTAGTTTGAGGACTAAAGGGCATCTGATTCAAGCCATAGGTTGTTTTTTGTTTTTGTTGTTTTTTTTTTTTTTTTTTTAATGTGTGTACCGTCAAATTGGATCTGACTGGTACAGGAGGCGATTGTTCCTCCTTCTTCAGCAGAACATCTGGTGGATTTGAACCGCGCACCTCTGGGATTGCAGTGTATCAAGCCATAGGTTTTTTGTTTTAAAGTTTAACACAAAATTAGTATGTTTTCTTTGTTGTGCAGTATACACAATCTAGAGGTAAATTTTTTGGGGGAGGAGTGGGGTTTTTTGTTTTGGTTTGGGGAAGTATGTCCATGAGTATTAATGGTAACTTCCTATAGTGTTCATTTTACTTGGTTGTCAGCAGTCATTATTCTGTGTGATGGTACCTCTGGGAGGGACAGCACAAGAAAATTATATTGACTGGGTGTTCCTACCTGCCCTGTGTTGTTCCTAGAATAACTCTCTGGGCAGACCTGCAGGAACTTCAGGCTGAATATGGTCGGGCTTCAGCAGAAGGCCTATTTGTGTGTTTGGGGTTGTTTACCCAGTCTGAGTCAGAAGTCCTCTTGAGATGAGGAACTTATTCCTCTTAGTTGACGAAGCCTCAGGTTTCTGAATCCCGTAACTTTCATCCCTAGTGTTAACTGGCTGTTGTGGCTGTGACAGGCTCTTTGAGTCTCTGAGGGTTCTGTACTCCAGATGTGTGAGTGACACTGTCACCCAGATTATGAATGGAGAGGACCTCCCTGTTCAGTCAGTACTTCTCTTGCATCATACACTAGATTTTTTGTTTGGGTTGTTTTTTTTTTTATTTTTTTGGGGTTTTTTTTTTAATAGAGATATAGCAGAGTTGTTGAGTTTTGGTGTTGGGTTTTTTTTTCCCTTTACCCATCTGAGGCCATAGCCATAGTCTTTTCAATCACTTGCTATGCTGCTGAGAACTGGACAATGAATAAGGATGACAGAAAAATCGATGTCTTTGAATTGTGGTGTTGGAGATGAGTACTGACTATACCATAGACTGTCAAAAGAACAGACATGTCTTTTTTCTTTTCTTTAATTCATTGCTACAAACAGATATGTTTTGGAGAAGGTATAGTCAGAGTGCTCCTTGGAGGCAAAGAAGATAAAAGCTCATCTCACATATTTTGGCCTATTATTAGAAGTTGCTCCCTGGAGGACATCATGCTTGGAAAGGCAGAGGGATGGCAAAGGAAAGGAAGAACCTCAACCAGATGGATTGACACAGTGACTGCAGCAATAGGCTAGAAAATATCAGAGATGATGAGGATGGCACAGGATAGGACTGGGTTCAGATCTGTTGTTCATAGGGTTGCTTTAAGTTGTACCTGCCTTGACTGCACCTAGTTAACAACTGCAAGATTCTACTAACATAGGAAACTGTGCAAGGGGGAAAAGAGCATATAGGAACTCTACTTTGTATCATTTTTAAAAAATAACTAAAACTGCTCTAAAATATTTTAATAACGTATGAGTTGTAAAGTATTTCAAACTTATAGAAAATAATAATAAATGTCAAACTCCCCACCATGCCAATTAACAAATGATGTCAACATATTGCCATGTTTCAAACCTCTTCCAAACCTCCACTCCATAATGATATAATCTTCATGTCCTACAATTGATCACATAATGTTTATTTCTGTCATATCTCTCACTCACACACACTCCTAGCTTTATGGTAATAGTATATTCTGAGTAGTTATTTGCTTTGTAAATAGTCCTGAACTCATATTCTGCCTCTAGGTTTTTGGGATTTTTTAAAACAGTTTATGTTGTGCGTTGCTTTCCAGCTGGCTTAGCCTCATGGCAATAATATAACAGAATGAAATGTGGCTTGATCTTGTGCCACCTTCCTGATCATTGTTATGTTTGATTCCATTGTAGTTATTGTGTCAATCCATCTCATTTTGCCAAACATGCCCTTTCACAGTGATTATTCTTTCCCCACTGTATGAATATCCAAAGTTGTTATGCACTGTTAAGTTGCCTGCGACTCATAGCGACCCTACGTACAACACCTCTGAACCCTGCTCTATCCTGAGCCAACATTACTGTCTGTACACCCATTACCCCAGTCACTGAATCAATCAATCTCATCCAGGGTCTTCCTCTCCTGCCCTTTCCCTCCACCCTCCCAAGCACGATGTCCCTCTCCAAAGACTGGTCTCTCCTTGCAACATGCCCAAAGTACATCAGACAGAGCTTCAGAATCCTTGCCTCCAAGGAGCAGCCTAGTTTTACCCTCTCTAGGACAATCCTGTTAGTTCTCTTAGCAGACCATGGTATATTCAATACTCTTCTCCAGAACCACAGCTGAAAGGTATCAATTCTCCTTCATCATTGTCTGACTTTCTGATGCATAGCACATAATTGTGAAGACTATGGCCTGGATCAGGTGCACTGTAGTCTCCAGACTCACATCGTTGATCTTTAGTACTCTGGAGAGGTCCAAAGCAAGTTAAGTCTCACTATCTTCAGTTCTAAAGAGCCTTCACCTTTAAGGAGGTATATTTCATCCCCAAATTTATACAATGTTTATAGGTTCTTAAGAAAAAAAGGGAAATTTTCATTTCCTATAGATATCTCAATGCTTATTATTGAAAAATGGATCACTAATTCTAGTATAACCTAATATTATAGTATTACCAATTACTTTTAAGTATAATACTATAGGCCTAAGTAAACCATATAACAATTTATTTAAATTGAAGACTCTCTTTTAAAGAAAGAAAATAGTACAGATCTGTTATGTGCCATCGAGTCGAGTACAACTCACAGTGAACCTATGAATAAAAGAACCCTGTCCTGTTCTGTGCCATCCTCATAATTTTCGACAAACTCAAGTCCTTTGCTACAGTCACTGTGTCAATCCATCTTGTCGAGGGTGTTTATTTCTTTTGCTGATCCTCCACCTTTCCAACCATGACGCCCTTTCCAAGGAATAACCCTCCTATTCCTTGTCCAACATGCTCTAAGTATGTTAGACGAAGCTATGCCATCTTTGCCTCTAAGGAGCAACCCAGCTGCACCTTCTCCAAGACACATGATTGTTCTTTTAGCAGTCCGTGGGATATTCAGTTCTCTTCTCCAACACCATAGATCAAAGACACCAATTCTTCTATCTGTATTCATTGTCCAGCTTTTAGAAGTGAAGCAAGTGATTGAAAGGACCCTGGCTTGAATCAGCTGCACCTTAGTCTTCAAGTTGGTATCATGGCTCGTCAGTACTTTGGCTAAGTCCCTAGTATTCGACTGCAGAGCCCTTTCCTTCTTCTCTTAGAATAGCTCCTGAAATGATCCAATCACAGAAATCAGCAGCTGTGGCTATTTCTGTCAAGACTGTGAAATTGCTCTATCTTCTTTCCCAGAAATAGTTATGAGACCCCAGCCCACTTCCCTATTTTGTAAAAAACATCTGTGAGCATCCCTTTCCCTAAGTTCCTTGTAAGAGAATATAAAACCCCCCTCTAACTTTTAGGGGGGGCTGGTTTTCTGCATAAGAGCCAGCTCGGCAGTTTCTCCTCAATAATCTGTCTTTCTTGGTCTGAACTGTGTTCTATCCTTCCTTGGTGACCTTACAACTAGTAGCAAACTTTCTCAATGCAATGTCTTTATTTCTTGACTGCTGGAGTTGGCACCCTTGGTGCCAAAGGTGTTGATGAAATAATTGACAACCTCAATTTTTTCCCATCCATCATGATATTGGTTATCAGGCTGATAGTGAGAAAATCCTTACTATTACAGATAACTGTTGTAGTTGTAGAGGGGCTGCAGGCCTTTTGATCATAGGGTCACTACGAGTCATGCTCAACTCGAAGGCAATCAACAACAACCACCACCACTATTGAACTGATCCACAGCTGACCCTCCACTGGGTTTTCAGAGGTAAACTATAAGGCAGGAGACTGCGCATCCTTCTCTGGTAAGCAGCTGGTGGATTTGAAAAACATACCTCTGTGCAGAAAGTCAAAGACTGCAGCCTTCAATAGGGACTGAAGCTCAATATCAAGAAAACAGATTCTCACCACTGCACTGATTGGCAGCATCATGATAGATGGTGAGGAGATTGAGATTGTAAATAGCTTCAGTTTGCTTGGCTCCACAATCAACACTCTTGGCACCAGTAGCCATGAAATTAAAAGACAAATTGCATTGAGAAAGTGTGCTGTCAGAGACCTTTCCAAAGTACTGAAGAGTAATAATGTCAGTCTGGAGACTAAGATGCACCTGATACAGGCCATGGTCTTTGTAATCACTTGCTATGCATCAGAAAGCTGGACAATGACTAGGAATGATAGAAGGAGAACTGATGCCTTTGAGCTGTTTTGGAGAAAAGTATTGAATATATATGATGGACTGCTAAAAGAACAAACGTTCTTCCTGGAGAGGGTGAAGCGAGGCTGATCCTTGGAGGCAAGGATTCTGAATCTGCCTCTGATATACTTTGGACAAGGAGGGACCAGTCCTTGGGAGGATGGAGGGACAGCGCTGGAGAAGAAGACTCTGGTGGAGATGGATTGATTTAGTGATTGGGGTAATGGATGTAGGTGTGTTGGAGACAGTGAGATCGGCACAGGAATAGTGTAGGGTATAGGGCTGTTATCAACAGCACATAATAACAACCACCACCTCTGTGTTGGCAGTGCAATTCCTTACTACTAAACTACTAGAGCTCCCTGGCTAGTCAACTGAAAAACTCATTGTGGTGGAACTGAAATTGACTGGTAGCTGACCCTCCAGCAGAATTTCAGAGGCTGAAAATCATTCAGTACCCTGCCCATCTTCCTCCTGCAGAGCAGCTGGTGGATTCAAACTGCCACAGAAAAACCGCCTTTGGGCTACCAGTAGGTAAACAGGTTTGTCCTGGAGATAGCGTGAAGCCGGAATGTTCCTTAGAGTCAAGGATTCTGAAGCTTCGTCTGACATACTTTGGGCATGTTGTAAGGAGAGACTGGTCCTTGGAGAGGGACATCATGTTTGGGAGAGTGGAGGGATGGCGCAGGAGAGGAAGACTCTGTGAGTGGAGTGGTGGGAATGAGTGTGTTTGAGCCCGCATGGTTGGCACAGGATAGAACGGCATTTAGGGCTCTTTTTAGGGCTCTTGTACGTGGGGTCGCTATGAGTCGCAAGCGACTTGATGGTACATAACAACAACAACAACAACAAGGGGACAAAGAAGCTATAAATGAAAACAGAACAAGAACGAAAATGAGAAGCTGACATACTGTGAAGAGTGTAAACAATGTCACTGAAAAAGATGTAAATAAGAACTTATGTAAAATCTCTCCAAAATATATATATATATTTTTCATTATTATTTTTGTGTGCGTGTACCGTCAAATCAGATCTGACTGGTACAGGAGGAGATTGTCCCTCCTTCACCCGGCAGAGCATCTGGTGGATTCGAACTGTACGCTTCTGGGATTGTAGTTGCAGCTCCTTGCCACTAGGCCACCAGAGCTCCCCTAAAAATATATTTTTTTAAAAAATCGTATGAACACCAAAATCCAGAATGAAGGTTGCATAGTGGAGTGTACTCGGAGCGGGGAGATTGCATACCAATGAAGGAATTTTTCTTTTATTTTTCAGAGAAGAGCGAACTGGGGGGTGGGGGAGAGGTGGGCAGGGAGAAAAGTGCAACAATGAATGAATGGAAATCCAAAATCTCTCTACATGTTCATGAAAATTAATAAAATAAAATGAAAAATCTTATGAAGAGGGAGCTCTGGTGGCCTATTGGCAAGACACTACAATACCAGAAGTACATGGGTTCGAATCCACCAGATGCTCTGCTGGAGAAGGAGGGGCAATCTCCTCCTGTATCAATCAGATAAAATTTGACAGTACACACAAATAATAATAATAATAATAAAAAATTCTTTTAAAAAATCATAAGAAGACAGACATGAGAAAATTTTTTTTGACAAGTTAAAATGAAAAATACGGAGTTGCGCAGTCTGGGCGGGACGGCCGGTGGGCGGGGCTTAACCGGGGAGGAGAGCGTGGGGCGGGGCTTAACCGGGGAGGAGGCGGGGCTGTACGAGCGTGGGGCGGGGCCTGGGAGATTGGAGCTTCCGGGCGGAAGAGCTGGTGCTGCCGGAAATTACCGTCATGGTGGCGCCGGTGGTGTACCTGGTAGCGGCGACTGTACTTGTCGGCCTTATCCTTTTCCTGACACGTTTTCGAGGCCGGGCGACGGCAGGTAGGCAGTGTCGCCGAGCCAGGGCCCGTAGGTCCGAGCTCGGCAGCTTTCTCTATAGGCCGGATTACTGAGGCTACTGCGCATGCGTCCGACGTGTGCGTGGTTTACGGGGTTGTCTGAGAGCCCGGTGCTGGACAGCGCAGGGGCGGCCGGGATACAGGCCTTGCGCATGCGCATATGTGCAGGCGGAGAGGGATGAGCAAGGAACTGCTGGGCCCAGTGCTCCCGGTCCGCAGCTACCCCTGTGTCTTTCTCCCAGCCTAGAGCCAGAGCGTTGACCCTGGCATTTGCCTACTCCCATCCCTCATTATTCTGGGCAGTTCTGCGCTCATTGTACATCATCAGGATTCCTATTGCTTCCAGCCAAGCTCCAGAGCAGTTTCTAGTGGTGCACCTGGAGTGATCTCTCTCCTGCTACGAGCTTTAGGGAGAATGAAGAGGATGTTCTCTGAAGCCCCCTTCCCACCAAGAAAAGCACCGATGCCACCTGGCCCACCATTGCACCCCGTTCTGTACCCCACAGCTGCACCCTTGACCTAAAACCATGCTACTGGTCAGGTCGATGAACTAACCAATATACCTGTCACCCCCTCCTTCCCATTTAATAGCATCATATAGGCTTGTATGATGTCTCTCCTGCTCCTTGGGACCACTGACTGTTGTAGAGTACCTGCGTGCCCCTTGGTCAGGGGAAAAAGATGCTGAGGAAAAAGGCAGTCAACAAGGTTACCCAGCCTCTACCAACAGTATACCCTGGGGCTGGAATGCTATCTAAGCATGGCAAATGTGAGACAAGAAATCAGTGCATTAATGCAGCGGGCATTCAGATGTGGTTGGGAAGGCTGGGCTGGGCTTTCCAAAGGTAGGGCCTCTGCTCCATTTTGCAAGACAGACACCACTGAAAAGCCTGGGAAGGGTAGGGCCTGAGAGGAGGGAAGGTGACAACACAGGTAGAAGGGAAAGAGTGAACTTGCTCCTTAGAACCAAGGTGCAGGTCTCCCCCCTTATTTCCCCCTTGTAAATGGTCAGATTGAAAAGTTGGGGCTTTGTTCTGTGGGTAGCAGGAACCTGGGAGGAGGTGAAGAAATGGAACGTGAGGCTTCCAGGATGCTGGCCTTCCTGCCATCTGGTGGACCTGACAGCTGGCGGCATCATATTTCCTTTGTTCACTGCAGCTGGCCGAGAACCACAGCACAATGAAGGTGTAACGGACCGAGAGGCCCAGGCAGGCCGCCTGGAGCCCGAGGAGCAGAGAGCTGAGGGCAGGCCCCGGCGGCGGAGGGACCTGGGCAGTCGCCTGCAGGCCCAGCGTCGAGCCCAGAGAATGGTCCAGGCAGAATTGGATGAAAATGAACAGGAGGCAGTTGTCCCAGGTAAGAAGGACCCAGTGCAACAAGGCTGGATTATAGCTGAGGGGTCAGGGAAATAGGGTGTGAAACCACAGTGTGGGTGGAATGGTGTGAAGCTAGATGGTTGGGATGAATGCTGGGTGCCTGGCTTTGATGCTTAGGGCTAACAGTTCTGGGACCTGACATCCACGTCATTTGTCCAGCCCTGTCTTTCCTCTTGGTTCTCAGTGTCTAAGCAGGAGGGGAAGGGGTTCTCAGATTGCTCATCCTACCCTTCTGTTCCAGCACCTTCCAGGTGTGAATGAGTAAACACACTCATTCCCTGATGGCCTCACCGTACTGACAGTGCCTAGCTGGGGGCTTCTGTCCTGGGAGTTTCTACAGGTCCTGGGATTCAGTCATATCTAACTTCAGAAGAGGGGTTTGGGATAGAGACATCCTATTAACTTAGACACCTCCATACACTGCTGAAAGCCCAGCAGAGCCCTTAGGACTGTGGGGAAGAATGCCTCTTCTCCAAGTACCTGAAACAGAGAAATTTGGCCCTCTCACAGAAACAGGGCATTTGAAGCTTTTGCCTTTATACCCTTGGAGGTGGCTGAAAAAAGAAGCCCTCTCTTAGGTCACCATCATGCCTCAGATGTGGGTCAGACAGCCTGCTCTTGGGCATCACCACTAGGTCTTTACCTTTCCACCCATCCAAGTATGACTCTGATTTTGGTCTGGGCTTGTTGCCAGAAAGGGATAATCCTGACCAGGGCCTGAGATCAGAACCCTCAGCAGCTCCTGGTTAACAATAAAAAGGATTCAGATTTGCCTGGGATAAATTTCCCAGGGGACTATCCTTCCCTGGGAATGTTTGGCTCAGAGACAGAAACCAGAGACTTCTGTAGCCCAGATAACCCCGTCTGTGATCCGGTGTGCTCTTGGACATTGGAACCAGAGGTTTCCCTTTTCATGATTATACAACTTCTGATGTTTTCTTCAGTCCTCTTACCCTATTCATGGTTCTCAAGCCCTTCCCTGCTCTTTTACACACACACACACACACAATCTCTGAATGCAGGTTCCTCACAGCAGATGCTTGTGGTGAGCAGAGCTTGGCTTGTAATATTAAAAAATAGGCAAAGGGGATTCCCTTAGAGGAAAGGAACACCAATCCTCTGACCAGGGCCTAAAATGTCTATCCTGACCATATCCAGTCCAGGAGGAAGAAGGCATTGAGAAGCCAGTGGAACCTCATGTGTCAGGCAAAATTGGAGCCAAGAAGCTACGGAAGCTGGAGGAGAAACAGGCTCGAAAAGCCCAGCGTGAGGTAAGTGGGGAGCGCTGGACATGGGAAGGTCTCTGCCTGCCTGTTCCTTGCAGCAGAATGAACAGGAGATCTGAACCCTGCCCTGTCCTGCCCCGTGGTCACAAGCCCCTGCCCTGTCCTTCCTCATGGTCACAAGCCCCTGCCCTGTCCTGTCCCATGGTCACAAGCTCCGTCATGTTCAAACCAATTAGTGCAATCATTGTGTCAGTCCATCTTGTTGAGGGGCTTCCTCTTTTTCTCTGACCCTTGACCTTTCCCATTATGATAGCTCCTTCCAAGGCCTGGCCTCTGCTGACGACATGCCCCTGTGAGAGAAGTTTCACCATCCTCACCTCTGAGGAGCACCCTGGTTACACTTCCTCTGAGACTGATTGGTTTATTCTTTTGACAGTCCGTCCAGTGTTCTTTATCAACACCGCATATCAAAGGCATATATTCTGTTCAACCATAATAAGGTCAAAAGAGCGACACATGCCCATAGAGAAAGGCCAGAAAGCAGGAAGGGGCAGGAGAGGATTAATGGAAGTAAGAATCACAGGAAGTGGAGAGAGTGCGGTTATATTGTGGGTGCTGTAATTAAAGTTCTAAAACAAAATGTGTTTGATCGATTGGAAACCAATTTGTTTTGTGAACTTTTCACTTAAGTCACAATAAGAAAAATGTAAATAAAGCGAGCTCAGGTGGCCTAGTGGCAAGAAGCTGCACTGCAATCCTAGAAGTGCACAGTTCAAATCCACCAGATGCTCTGCTGAAGAAGGGGGGACAGTCTCCTCCTGTACCAGTCAGATCTAATTTGATGGTACGTACACACACACACACATATAAAATTTTTTTAAAAAAGAAAACACGAAACACACTTCCACGTTAACAGAAACAAAACCTCTGTGGAGGGTGGTTATCTTGCCACTCCGGAGGTTGCTGGGAATCTGGGTGGTGGTGATGGTAACTGGCTTTTTTACCCCTCCAGGCAGAAGAGGCAGAGAGAGAGGAGCGGAAGCGCCTGGAATCCCAGCGGGAGGCCGAGTGGAAGAAGGAGGAGGAGCGGCTCCGCCTAGAGGAGGAACAGAAGGTGACGTAGACCCCCAGACCTCTGACCCCTGCCCTGGCTGGCCTGCTTTACCTTCGACACTTCCAGCCTAGAAGATGAGCCAGAACGAGTCCTGGTTTGTCTGGTCCTTGAGCTTCAGACAATGGCCTGTGTGAAGCCTGACTGAAGGGCACTGAGGTGGCCTGAGTGGCTGGAGCAGAGGAAGCAGGGAGGAGGGGTCAGCGTGGTAAGGTCAGTCCAGATCCTGAGGGCCTTGCATAGGGCTTCAGCTCATCTCATTGCTGGGTGAGTCAGAATTGACTCATAGCCGACCCTCTAGTGGGTTTGTGGAGGCTGTGAATGGAGCGGGAAGAGATTGCCCGTTTTTCTTCCTCCGAGTTGCTGATGGAAATGCTAGAGATGCTGCCCATGGGTTAGCAGTGTGACTCCCTCTTAGGCCACTGGAGCTCTGCTGAGTGGGCCCAGATTACCCGACACGCAAGGTACAGACAGGTCCAGTCGTGCCTTCCCGCCGAATCTCCACATCTCCTCTGTCCCTGGATGTGCCGAAATGAATTATTCAGCACAGATTAACAAGTGAACGTAATCAAGCCATGCTCATGCGTACTATGCGTACTGCTTAGCCCACCTCTGGCCCTGAGTGTTAGCTGGGACGTGCCTGTGCTGTGACTGTACCCCACCTTCCACAGAGGAGATACTCGAGGTGAGGGCTCCAGAGTGAAGACAGTTGATGAGCATTTGTTCACCGCTTCCTCCAGTCTCAGAACCAGGATCCTGAGAAAGGGAGCTTCATAGAGCTGTGGAGTCAGTAGGGTAAGAGCTAGGGCTGTCCCAGCTAGGAGGACCCCACAGCTTGGCACCTGTATTGTGACTGGCCTTTGCTGTCCAGAGACCCTGCACGGCAGGCAATCTGGCCCCAGGTGTTGTAGCAGATGAACTTGAGTACAGCAGAAGGTGGTATTAGCAGGGAGGACTTCACCTTTCTGAATATTGATCCTTCCTTGTCCTTGTCAGTATCCATCCTCAGGCTCTTCCTTCCTGTGCCTCAGTTTCCCCTACTGTTGTTGTTGGTTGCCCTTTTTTTTTTTTAAGTAATTTTAATGAAAGTGTATAGAGACTTAGGATTTCCAGTCATTCATTCATTGTTGCACTTTTCTCCCTACCCACCCCCTCCCTCTGTTGATTGCTTTTAAGTCGAGCACGACTCATAACGACCCTATGAACAAAAGGCCTGAAGCTCCTTTACAACTATCTACATGTATAAAAGTTCATAGAGTTTCTGGAGGCTTGTTTAGGAAGTGGATACCACTCCTGCTTCTACTCCCCTATTACTAGCTTATATTAATAAAGTCCATTTGTCATAACTAATGAACCAGCATTGATATGTGATCAACTAAATTCCGTACTCTTTTCAGCTTTTATTACTGTTTTCCCCAAAGCCTTTCTTCTGTTCCAGAGTCCGTCAGGATATGTTACACTTAGCTATCCTGTCTCCCTCAACTTCTTAGGGTTAACAGTTCCTAAGACTTTCCCTGTCTTTGAAAACCTTGGCAATCTTTGTGTGTTTGTGTACCATCAAATCGTATATGACTGGTACAGGAGGAGATTGCCCCTCTGTCTCCAGCAGAGCATCTGGAGGATTCAAATTGCGTGCCTCTGGGATTGCAGTGGAGCTTCTTGCCACTAGGCCACCAGAGCTCCCTTAGACCTGGGCATTCTTGAGTGCTGGTCTCATACTTTATAGGGTTTGCCACCCTGAGTCTGGCTGCTGTTTTTCTCACACTTAGATTGGAATTTTGGATTTCTGGAAGGAAGACCATGGAGGTGAAGTACCTCCATACACGTATGTGCTGTCACCTTGACTTATTACAGAAGACATTAACCTTGATCACCTCCTTGATGTTCTCACAACCCTCTTCGTACTGTATTCTTCAAAAAACAAGCTCTGGTGGCCGAGTGGTACGGAGTTATGCTGCAATCCCAGAGGCATGTGGTTCGAATAATCCACCAGCTGCTCCTCACGAGAAGGATGGACAGTCTTCTCCTGTGAGATTAACTGCCTCTTAAAACCCTCTGGAAGGTCAGCTATGGGTCAGTTCCGACTCAACAGTGCACATCAACAGTTACTACACTGTATAATGTGTTCACAAATCTGAATATTGTGGCACTTGGCCTTGGCACTCCTTTAGGGAGTTGTTTTAGTTGGGACCTGTGTCCTGTTGACACACCCTCATTGTGTGTTTTTTTTAGTGCTTCCTTCCTTCCTGGCACTACAAGATGCTTTGGGTTTACCTTTTTATATTCCCTGGCCAGTTTTCACTTCACGTGGAGATCCTCTGCGAGACCTTGCTGAGGGCTCTGGAAGGTGACTGGGTATAGGGAAGACTGCAGTAGCAGTTGGTGGCATGAAGTAGATGGATTGAGAAGCTTTCAGGATGTTAAAGTGAGAAAGAAAGAGGGGACCCCGTTTCCGAGCAGGGCAGATGGCCGGATGTGATTCATCAAGCGAGGGACCATGGAGGGGGACCACACTTGTGGGGAGTAGGTCGCCGGGTACACACTAAATCTCAGCTAGCTGGGTGGGTGTGTCACGTGGACAGTTGTGTGTTTGGGAGGAGAGGTTTGGGCCGGGTACAACTACAGCAGTCACTGGCAAGAACGTGGCTGGTGATGCTGTGGGCCTGGGGACAGCGTCCAGGGAGAGTGCGGAGAAGAGATGGGCTGGGGCGGGGTGATGAAGGGGGTGGGAAAGAGTGACCCAGGAGGTAGAAATCAAGAAGAATCTGGGGGCCTGGAGCCCAAGGAAGGAGGGAGATGGGAAGTGCTGTGTCCCACACCAGGGCAAGGCTGGGTCCTGAAGGGTGTTTTGTGAATTTGGTAAGAATGAGGACATTTGTAAGACTGTCTGAAGAGTTGTTTTGGTGGAACGGGACATTTTAGATTTGACAGGTAAGGGGTGGTGAGTAAATAGAACATATCACTTACCTTGTTGGCCGAGAAAGGGAGACAGCTCATGACAGGGTTTTTAAGAGATTGTTTTTTAACTAAATCTAGACCAAGGATTCAGGGAGTAAGGATGGAGCTGATGGGAAGAAGGGCTTCTGCCTCCTTTGTTAAGTGTAAATCTTGGAGTCAGGGTCTTAAAAACACCCTGTCCCTAAGAGAGAACTTAGCTATATCCTTTGTGTTCTTTGGTGCGGGGGGACCAGAAAGGGCTGAGGAGGGCACCCATCTCCAGATCCCTGATTTTTGTCCCTGTGAACACAGGAGGAAGCAGAGAGGAAGGCCCGGGAGGAGCAGGCCCAGCGGGAACATGAGGAGTACCTGAAACTGAAGGAGGCCTTCGTGGTAGAGGAGGAGGGCGTGGGGGAGACCATGACTGAGGAGCAGGTAGGCCTGGAATTCCTGGGCAGCCTCTCCCTGTGCCCCGTAAGGAGCTGGGTGTCTCTTTTTGACCAAGACTGGCCGCCCCATCATATGTAGCCTGCCTTGCCCATGAGAGGTGGGTGGGCATCCGTGCCAGCAGGCTCCGCTGACCAGAGGCCTGGTCCTTAGCGTATGGTGTTCTGAACCCCTCAGATGCAGGCAGGAGTGGGTGGCACCCTTGAAGGGTTAGGTGGGCAGGTAGAGGGCATTGAGGTGGGAGGTGGTGCCCACAGTCATCTGGGGAGAACCAGACCCTGTATCCTCATGTAAAGGGTTCCTCAACCCTGATTTCTCTGCCCCTCTAGTCCCACAGCTTCCTGACCGAGTTCATCAGTTACATCAAGGTAAGAAGCTACGGAGCAGAACTTGGGTTTCAGCACCTGCCTTTGCGTGCAGGTCATGGGCGTCCTCCTTTGGGCCTAGAGGGTAAGGACCATGGCAGAGGTTGCTGTGCATGCGTGGGAATGGCAGCCACAGAGGGTGAGCTGCCCCTGTCCTGGCCAGGCCTGTCCCTTAGTCTCTGACAGGAAGGTGGAGAAGAACCCAGGGTGTGTGGGTGACATGAGCCTTCACTGGTTCCCCACACTCCACACTTGACAGCTCCCTGCTCTTCAGACCCCGTGCTCCGTGACTCATTGTATTTTTGTGCTTTTTCACATGTCATTCCTGTCACTTGTGTCAAACTGAAGCTCCAGTAGTCGAAACAAGTGTTGCCTGCCATGTTGCCCTGGCCAGGAATCTGGGGCTCCTGGGGGTGGGGGGAACAGCGTGGTACTTCCTTTGGAGCCTAGGGTTGGGTGGCAGGTGTGTCCCCTCCTGCCCACAGCCTCGGTGCAGGAGGCCTGGATGTTGTTCCAGGTTGCATAAGCACGTCCTGCTCTGCCTCGCTGCTAAGCAACTTCTCCTCTCCCACGAAGGATGTGTGGAGGGGAGAGGTTTGCGATCACAGCGCAGAGGTGCAGAGGCGGCTGAGGGAAGGCGCGCAGAGGGAGTGGGGGCGAGGGTGGGGGTGGTGCTAGGGGGTGCCAGGAACCCAGGCTTGCATAATTTCCTTCCCCCTTTTCCAGCAGCACAGGGCTGGGTGCATAGCCTGGGGACTGGGTTCCCAAGAGAGAGAAACACCAACAGCTTCTAGAGGGTTCTGTACCCTCAGACTCTGAGCATCCCCCCTGACAGAACCCTGTTCCCCCTTCTGCTTTTAATTGGAAGCTTCAGCTCTTGGCAGGATGTCAGTCATGATTTGCTGCTTATTTCTGGAACTTAAAGTCCCGACTACACAGTGAGTGATAGTGTGGTTTTAAAGTGCCTCCTCCAGGAAGCCTTCCCAGATGGATTTCAAGGAGATGGTTAGTGTCAGTGTCCCCTTGTTCTGCATCCTGGCATGAAGCTCTGGCTCACGTCACAGAGCCCCAGGATGGTCCTAGCTCTCTCTCTGTTTTGGTGGCTCCCTGGAGCTGCTGTTCTAGAGGGTTCTCCAAACTTCTGGAGGTGTTCCTAGCCTGTGCCATTGACTCCTGGATTTGCTATCTAACTCCTTCCTCCTCGCGGCAGGGATTTCAGAACTAGAGGGTGTTTCTGAGCCCAGCAGACTATGGGATGGCTGGGAAGATTTTGCTCTCATCTGTCCACTCTCCTTTATGAAAATAGCACACTTTTGGCCCCCGCAGCACCTTGGTGGGCCACCTGAGGTGATGCCATGGACCTGCTCTGAGCTGTCACTTAGAGCCCAGTGCCCATGCCTTTCCTCGTGGGTAGAGGCCAGCTGGCCAGGTCACCGTGTGTTTGCCCGCTACATGGCCCAGCTACTCGCTCACCTCTGTGCTTACACAGACGGGCTGGCATTCAAACAGTCACAAGCCAACTGCAGGCAGGGAGGTATCACCATGTCACTCCTCCGCCAGCCCATTAGCTGTGAAATGTACATGGACGTGCGAGAGACCTCTCTGGAGTCACGTGTTGTGTGTGGAGATGGGATGCTGCATGTGTGGGACTGGGCAGTGAACCCTCAGCTGCACCCCTGGGAAGCAGAGGCTCCACTGAGGGTGTGAAGGAGACTCCTGGGATGCAGCTGCCATGGACATGTTTCAACAACGTTAGTGTAGTCATTACTCAAGGTGGGCTCAGGGCCTCAGATGGTATGAGAAGGATGGATGAGCAGGGCTGGGTGTGTCAGGGTAGTGGGAAGGAGTTCCCACCACTGACAAGAGCTTGGCTTCTTTGTCTGTATGCTCCTCTGTCCCACCAGCTGGGCTCTGCTTACGAGCATGAACTGGGTTGTGTCTGCCATTGCACCCCCCTTTACATCTCACGGTCTTGTCCTGGCAGAGCCTCAGTGACCAGTTCACGGCGACAGTATTTTACAAAAGCTCCTGGTGGGTGGATGTCCCTGGCTTCCTGTCCCTGCTGCTTCCCCTTCAAGCTTGTCCATGATGTTTAAAAAACAGAGTTAGATAGGGACACAGTGGCAGCTGTCCTCTGCTTGTCACAAGAGTGAGGTGTGTGTGTGTGTGTATCACAGTGGTCCCCACATAAGGACTTGAGGGCAGGTGGTACTTTTGGGGTAGATCCCTCCTGACAAGGCAGGAAGAACGTATGAGTGTGTTTGTCTCTGATTCGGGGAGTTGTGAGAGTGAGCGAGGGCAGTGAGGTGAGGAACACCCAGGGGATTCCTGTAGCGCCCAGGCCAGGCCAGAGGAGCGCGCCAGCCTGCTGGGGCTACGGTTCCATTGCCAGCAGGGACTGGCCGGAGCTTACCTCCATTCCTTGTTCTCTTCCTGATAGCAGTCCAAGGTGGTGCTCCTAGAAGACCTGGCTTCCCATGTGGGCCTGCGGACTCAGGTAAGCCCCCAAAGGTGGCCCACTCTAGGCTGTGTGACTGGTGGAAGGGTGGTGTGTCCTGAAAGTGGGGAATCTTACCCCCCCATCCCACACCCCTAACCAGAAATGAGCAGTGTAGGAACCCTGCCTTTCTATCAGACAGAAGAACAAGTAGGGAAGGGAAAGGAGAACAGTATAAACTCCCTCCCTCACCACCAGCCTCTCCAGCTGAAGGAGCACAGATCCAGTCACCCCAGTAGTTAGTTGTCTTAGCAGCAGCCTCTATCAGTTTTTATGGCCAAATAATTCTCCTCCCCTCATGGTTGGAAGAGAGACTTTTTGGGGATCTCGCAGGACCCCAGACTAGAGCTCCTTTCTTAAAGGGAGAAGCACATAGTCTATGTGGGGTATAGCTAGAGGAGGAGGGATGGAAAGCCAGCTGTGGTGGGTGGGAGGTGCAGGTGAGAGGGAGGGTGCAAATGGGAGAGAGGATGCAGGTGAGAGGGAGGGTATAGTTGGGAGGGAGTTGCAAGTGGGAGGGAGGTGCAGGTGAACAGCTGCCCTCAGCTGTGGGCTGAAGACTCTTCTCCTCACAGGACACCATAAACCGCATCCAGGATCTGCTGGCTGATGGGACTCTGACAGGTGAGAGAATAACCTACCACATCTGGAATGTTAAGGGCGGCTGCAGAGACTTCATAAGGGACTTGTTGCAATGCTAGGAGGCAGACGGATCATCCCTGGGTCAGGATTTGGATGCAGAGCACTGAACTGTGGGATGCAGTTACATGGAGGACTTGCCAAGGCCTAGAGAGGGCAGACGAGGAAGCCTGGTGTGCCACCTGCCCCTAGCCAGGATGGCAAGGCAGCCAGGGACCTAGAAGGCTCTCAAGTGGTTGTGAAGGGGTAAGGGGGCAGTATTAGGACAGGCAGGGATGCCTAGGAGGGCTCAGCCCCACAACCTGCAACCCTCATGTCCCCACAGGTGTCATTGACGACCGGGGCAAGTTCATCTACATAACCCCAGAGGAACTGGCTGCTGTGGCCAACTTCATCCGACAGAGAGGCCGGGTGTCCATCACTGAACTTGCCCAGGCCAGCAACTCCCTCATCGCCTGGGGCCAGGAGCCCCCGACTCAAACCCCAGCCTGACCCCAGCTCTTCCCTCTTGGACTCTGAGCTGGTTCAGCCCACCTGACCAGACTCTCCTCTCCCTCCCTCCTAACGTAGGACAGTGATGGAATGTGGTGAGGCAGTTACAGATTAAAGGCCCCTGAGCACTGAGCTTGGTGTGGCTTGGTATGGCCAAGGCCTGTCCTGGCATCTCAGACACCCAGGTATAATCCTCCAGCCTCCAGATGTCTCCTAGAGGAGGGAGGGTCTTTGAAGGCAGGTGGGAGGGCACATGTTTATCATGCATTAATTTATTCTAAAAGAACTATTGCGCCCTACCTGCATTTCTTTGTGCCTTCAAACCTAGACAGGGTCTTTCTCTCCCCTCTCCTCACCCGCATCCAGAGCAAAATTAAGGACATTTCTCTCTTGGACCATCTTCCCTAGTACAAGAGAGAAGTCTCCTATTAAATATAGATCCAAGAGACTGAAGCAGGAAGGCTCAGCATCTGGGAGGGAGAGTTAATGAGAAGTGTCAAGGAGAGAGAGTCTTAGGGAGAAGGAGCCTTTATAAAGAGGGGGGCAGACAGAGGCAGTGAAGGACATTGTCTGGGCCAGTACTTCTAGGGTGGGGAGAAAGAAGGGGAGGGCCTCCTTGAGCTGTACATGATTGCGGGGTGGAGGGACATTGTTCATACATTGTGATACAGCAAATCACATGAATTCCATTCTCCCCCGGGCAGAACAAAAGTTGCAGTAGCGTGGGTGGTCACACCCAGTGTTGAGTGTCAGGACCATATGCTTGGGTGTGGGTGTCGGCTGAGAGCTATGTCTCCTGCAGGGTCAGCCAGTCTTGTGCTTGTGGGCTGTCCGTGGCGTGAGCATCCCGCAGCGCTGCAGGTGAGGCTTGGGTTTAAAATGTGCATCTTTCTGTGCAAAGTGGTCCCTCAGCACAGCCACCCACTTCCTTCGGTGTCTGGTGGAGGTACTTTCTGTTCCAGTTCAGGAGGAAACTGTGAGGAGTGATACACAGACAGTGCATCAGGCTCTGGGATGATGTCTTTCTGAGGGCTCGTCAGGGGTGATTTTTTTCTTATTTTGAGGCTATAAGCATTGGCAGTAGAACCAGTATTCCGAGTAAGATGAGACTCTGCTGTTTCCATCAGCTGTGGGCACGGAGCGTCATTGGGTGCTATGAAGGTCCACATACATGGTCTGGAAGGCCACCTGGAGCCCACCGTGTAGTAGGAGAGGAGAGGGAGGCATAGACATGGATAGCTGCAATATGAAGTAGACACATAGGCTCCTGAGGGGAAAAGCGGAGGTGACTGGTTGAATCAGTGACTCTCAGCCCTCGTTACTCTTTAGAATCAACAGTCTTTGTACCAAATGGCACCTCAGACCAGTTAAGTCAAGCTCCGGGCATCATCTCATTGTGCAGCCAAAGTCAAGAGCCAGAATGGAAGTAAGGGTAGCATTGAAAGGCAGGTGGAAAAGTTGCAAGTAATGAAACCACTCTATGGCAGGGCCTTCTCATCAAACGAGAGAGCAGATCCAGGGTCTCTTTAGTCCTGTCCTTCAGTCTTCCTCAGCCACAGCCCGCCCAGCAGCACGGTGGCTGTGGCAGCCTCTACCGCAGGGCATTGCTTGAGATCCAGAAGGGAGCAGAGCACATCCCTTCCCTGAGTCTCTGATGTCTCCTGTTCCATATGTTCCAGGAGCTCAGCGTAGAGGGGAAAACCTACATGGATGATTTAGGGGTTGGTCTTAATCTTACCAATTTATCAAGTGGACAGTTCTTCAAATAATAAATACCACCTTTCTAAACATGTTCAGACTGCTTCACAGCTGACAATGGAAAACTTCCAGGTTTAACAACTTGCATTGTCCCCTTAAATACTTCTAAGCAGTTAATTAAAACCCCCAAGAGGGTGTTGGGGTTTTTGTGTGTGTATGTGGGTGTATTTGTTTTTTTTCCTTGTTGTGTACCATCAAAATGGATACAAGTGGTTCAAGAGAAGATTGCCCTTCCTTCTGAAGCAGAGCATCTGGTGGATTCAAACCTCATGCCTTCGGGATTGCTAGGCCACCAGAGCTCCCTAAACCCCCCCATTTTAATGTAATATATTACATCAAATGATTCAACATCTTCAAAAGTAGTCCAGACATGCATGGTATCATAGTAGTTACATACGAATCTGCACAGGTAACCTCAAAATTGATTAGAGAAATAAATTTCATCCATTAATATATATTTACTATACTCTGTTAATTTTTATTTCTTCCTAAGGGTGTCATTTTACCCCGGAGCAGCACTGTGACTGCCTCAGGTGGCTTACCAAGTAGATGGTGACTCAGAACCAGGGGCTGCAGATTTCAGCAGCCTGTGGTCCTGCCTGAGACCTTTACCTGCAAGCAGCCCCTTTTCAGAGTTCAACCCTCTCTCTCCCACTGGGAACTTTGGGCTCCAAGCAGTCAGGTAAACATCAGTATGCATAACCCTCATGTGCTGCTTGTTTGGGGGGCCCTTCTATTCACAGCCCAGCTCAATCTGTTCTCATATCACTTGTTCCCAGTAGAGTACATTCTGGTCCTGTTTGGTTCAGTCACAATTTATCTTTTTTTTTTTTTATGGACCATCAAGCCCTATGTTATTGACAGACTTTGTGGTTGGAGAAGAAGCCCTGGTTAGTACAGTGAATTAAAAGTTGGCTGCTAACCAAAAGGTTAATGGTTTGAACCTACCAACTACTGCATTAGAGGTAAATGAAGCACTCTGCTCCCCTAAAGATTTACAGCCTCAGAAACCCTAGGAAGCAGTTCTGTTCCATCCTGGAGGGTTGCTGTGAGTCTGAATTAACAGAGCTAAGTTTGGTTTTGGTGGTTAGTTAAAACATCTTTGCAAAATATTTATAAGTTTGTTTTTGAGTTAGATGTTATTTGAACTGGCTAATGGACACATAAGAATGATCATACGTGTGTGTGTGTGTGTGTGTGTGTGTGTGTGTGTGTGTGTGTGTGTGTGTGTGTGTCCCTATAACAAGAATTTTAAAGATCTATGTATTCTTAGCTCAGTCTAAATCTCAGAAAAGGGGCTAATAAAGCTGAATAATGTGAAGCCAACCTGTCATTCATTTAACCAGAAGTTTAGTTAAAATACAGTGATGGCCTGCTGTCAGGAAGCTGTGCTGCAATCCCAAAGGCACATGGTTTCAATCCCTCCAGCTGCTCTGGGAGAAGGGTGGGCAATTTCCTCTTTTGCGATTAGCTGTCTCTGAAAACCCACCAGAGCTTTGGGTTGGTTCTGACTCTGGTACACAATAACAACAGAATAAAGCTTATTTTAAAAAAGTAATAACCCTGTTTAAAATAGTACTTTTGTGTAATTTGTGGAGTCTACTGACTGCGAGGCCTGGTGCTGAGCATCCCTACCTGAGCAAAACACGACACCACCCACACGTGGCAGGCATGCTGGAGACCCTAGTATGTAACAGGAGACTGGCCGTCACCACGCCATTAAATGAACAGCCAGATGTCCCTGATTAGGAAAGGGCCCAGCAGTAAATAATGAGAGGTCCTTCAGACTGAGAGAATGGCAGGTGCAAAGATTGGAAGGGAGCTGGGGGGCCTGTGATTCACTGACCTAAGCATGGAGTGTTGGGAAAAGGAAAGAGAAAGGGCAGAGAGAGATGAGTTGAAAGGGAGGTTGGGACCAGGCTGGGAAGGGCCATGATCTCCACACCCAGAGATGTGTGCTATATTTGGTGAGCCAACAGGAAAGAAAGGAGGAGAACGTTTCATGATTAGTATTTTGATGTTTTGGGGTTTTTTTAGTGTTATTATTTCTCTCTCTCTATCTCTGTGTGTGTGTGTGCGCGCGCGCGCGCACGTACATACGTGTACCGTCAAATTGGAGCTGACTGGTACAGGAGATTACGCCTTCTCCAGAAGAGCATCTGGTGGATTCGAACTGTGTACCTCTGGGATTGCAGTGCAGCTTCTTGCCACTAGGCCACCAGAGCTCCCTATGATTAGTATTTTGAATCAGTTAAGTCATTTCTCTAACTTTTTAAAAAGAATCATTGTATTCCACAAATTGGCCACTTCGTTAATACCTCCTTTCCAGTCACCATTGTACTGCTCAGAGATCCCACCGCAAGCCTTTATGAAGGCGTGCCTGAACATTGTCGAGTTTCTTCCTTACCCCATGACTGGGATACTAACTATTCCACTATTATCATACTTCTCAAACTTTTTCACACAGCAGCCTTAAGAGCTCAGTACACCCCTCTCCCTGTATCCTGGTTGTGTTGCATGTTAATATTTGCTTCTCTAATTCTATTTCATTGCTTATGGTAGCTAGATTTGTTTTATAACCCATTCCAGACCTCGACCTACAATTTGAAAAACAGGGTCCTAAGGAAGCCTTGTTCTTTTAAGATCAGTATCTAATTGTAGAGAACTTTTTTCCCCCTACAGTAATTTTTTTTCTTGTGTATTATTGAGTTGGATCTGACTGGCACAAGAGGAGATTTCCCCTCCTCCAGCGAAGCATCTGGTGGAGTCAAACTGCACACCTTCTGGATTGCAGTGCAGCTTCTTGCCACTAGGCCACCAAAGCTCTCTTTCAGTAAATTTTTATCATTAGTTAAGTCACAGTTCAAGATTCTGGCAGAGAGGTGAGGTGAGCCAGTTCAGATCTTCCCAGGAAATGTACCTTCTGCCCTGCGGTCATCCCAGGCTGACACCCAAGAAATGAGGCAGAGGGACTTGTACATATGCTGACCCCATTCTCACACAGAGACATCTCTGCCTTTGGTGGTCACTGCCTTCTGGCAAAGTTGGAAATCCAGAGAGTTCTGCCAGCAGTTCCTGATTTGGATCTGGTTGGGGAAGCGGCTATCAAAAGGGGCAGTTCAGTAGTTCTTGATTTGGGTCTTAATGTCTTTGGCCAGGGTAAAGACTCCCTTCAGATTGGTACATAACTTTTGATAGTCATAGTGTTGCACCAGAAGCAGTTTAGATGACAGCTACACCTG